TGGGAGTTGAAGTCCACTCATCTTAAAGTGGCCAAGTTTGGACAACACTGCCCTAAGGTTTTTTTGTTTTGCTGGACATATTTGGAATTTGAGAACCTGTAGCTGGCAGGCTGGCAAACTGGCTGCTGTGGGGGATGTATCGAGGCACTAATTTATGAGAATGTCACCTGCTAGTCTCCGCTAGCCTCACTCCTTCCTGCAGGATGCTGTCTCCCATCCCAACTTTTGTATTTCTTTTTCAGAGCAGGTATAACCACTTCTGGACAAAGCACTGGGCTGCAGTTTCACACTATTTTTATTTTCTAAGAAACTTAAAGGGCCCAGAGACATTCTTGGAAGTGAGAAATGCTGGAGGCTGGTGTCCAATGAAGAGAGAGCCAACAGGCACCAACAAGAGATGCATTTGTGGGTACATTAGCAGCCCTCGCATCAAGTTTTGGGATGTTGGCCTGGATCCTGGCTACTAGGAATATTATATCCTGTGCCACAGGGGGTCCCTGGAAGAATGCTGCTCCGCCACCTGATTGAGCACTCAGTCAGCTGATCCTAAGAGCTAATCCAAGTCCACTAATTCCTGTAAAATCCTGTACTATGAACTTGCTTGTTTTGACGGCAAGTAGTGCTCTGTGAATCCTGGAATCAGACTGATTGGCTGCCTCATCCCTACTGGAATCACACACACAATGAGCCATTCCTGGATTGAGTGACTGATGGAAATAAAATTGCAAATCATTCATTCATATCCTTCTCTTAATGAATCTGATGAGAAGAGACAGCAATTCTGGTTTCTGCATCTACGTTCCAAATGTGGGATACCTCTCAAAGAAAGGATTAAAATACCAACCATTCTAGTGTTGTTTTATTTACTTTTTCAGGAACTCAGTGTGGATCTGACTGAGCTTCGTGGGGTGCTCCAGACCCTGGGTCTGCAGGAACATTTTGAGAAGTCCATACGACTTGACAATGTGTACTGGAATGTTATGAAGCTCCTGGGATTTAAGTAAGTTAGAGAGCCAGTTTGGTGTTGTGGTTAAGGCACCAGGCTAGACACCAGGAGACTGTGAGTTCTAGGCCCACCTTAGGCACAGAGCCAGCTGGGTGACCTTGGGCCAGTCACTCCCTCTCAGCCCTAGGAAGGAGGCAAGGGGAACCCCTTCCAAAATCTTGCCACGAAAACTGCAGGGACTTGACTTGAAGGCACACACATGGAACCCCTTGGCCCTCCTGATCAGGCTTGTGAATTTTGGAAAATGAATTTGGAAATTGACACAGTTCACAAACGGCCTGGCCTCCTGAAGAAAGGAGGCAAAGAAAGAAAACCTGCAGCCCCGCACCCTTTGCATCGCGATTTTGCTGATGATGGCCC